TACTAACTGGTGTGAATGGCTGCCCTGTGCTTCAACCAATTCATGCTCTGAAACTTTCGCCTTCCCTCCAAACAGCTTGTGTTCTCCTGGCTTCTCTCTTTCAGAGTTGTAGATTCCTATCCTAAATCAGAGTGTGGCAGCTCAACTAATAAGATAATAAGGCAAAAGATGTGGTATTTTGATAGGCAGTTCTAGGAAGATTTACTGGTCTCTCCTACACTGTGGCAGCCTGGAAGGAGAACTAGGATCTTCAACATTTCATAATTGATTCACCTGGCACCACGTACTCCATAGGAAATGATGGAGTATAATGGAAAGAATATGAGATTAGAAGTTGGGAGACCAGAATTTGAGTCCCCTTCCTACCTCTCATTAGCTTTGTAGTTCAGATTAAGTTATTCTGTCTCACCTCTAGACCTCAGTGGCCACATTTATAAAGTGAGATTATTTGTCTATATAGTCATTACTAACCTTTCCACCATGGCAAAGCTTTAAGAATCAGAGGAAAATTATGGATTCTCTTCTCCAGCATAATACCCTGTTGCACATGAACATGAAATCGAATAACTGTGGGCTGTTCACAGACCCCTGTAAAGTCTATCCCCAGGGTCTAGATCACTGAGGCCTAGGACAAACTTTTAAAAATGAAAAAAGAGAGGGAAGTGCCTGGTGCTCAGTGGGTAGAGTACCAGCCCCATATACCAAGGGTGGCGGGTTCAGACCCAGCCCCGGCCAAACTGCAACAAAAAAATAGCCGGGGCATTGTGGCGGGCACCTGTAGTCCCAGCTACTCGGGAGGCTGAGGCAAAAGAATAGCCTAAGCCCAGGAGTTGGAAGTTGCTGTGAGCTGTGACACCACGGCCCTCTAACTAGAGTGTTAAAATGAGATCTGCCTCTAAAAAAAGAAAAAAGAAAAAAAAGAAAGAAAAAGAAGGGGGTAAGCGTAGCCAGGCATTGTGGCAGGTGCCTGTAGTCCTAGCTACTTGGGAGGCTGAGGCAAGAGAATCACTCAAGCCCAAGAGTTTGAGGTTACTGTGAGCTGTGACACTATGGCACTCTACCAAGGGCAACACAGTGAAACTCTGTCTCAAAAAAATAGAAAAGAAAAGAAAGAGGAAAGGGATAAAAACAATACTTATCTCAAGAGCTGATCATGTACATAACCACTTATAACAGGGTCTGACACATACTAAGCCCTAATAGCTATTAGCTTATTATAGAAATCATAATCACACATTTGCTGGGTGGTTAAAATTATAAGTTAAGGAGTTCTGGGAAATCATAAATACTTTAATGCCTTAGTCTCCCCAAATATAAACTGAGGACAATAATATAACAGAATCACTTCATAAATTTGTTGCAAGACTTGAAGATATTGTCACACTGAAAGTCTTTTCACAAAGCTTAGCACATACTAAGTGCTCAATAAATGTTAGCAGTTGTTTTTAACAATTCTAGGAGTCAAAGATTATCATTTTCCATTTTTATTTCTGAATACTAAGAGTGGGTTAAGTGTCTGCCAGCAATATCTCAGCTAGCAAATGAGTATACCAACATTTCAACTTGCATGGGTATGAAATCAGAAGTTGTCACCGCTACCACTACCCTTTATAACCTCTTGTTTGAATGGGACTTAGGGAAAAGAAGAACTAACTTATACCAATTAGATTACTAAGAGAAAGAAAGATAGTTGGCGGTAGCAGTCCCAAATTTGAGGGATTCTCCATGGAATCAACCATGACCTTGGCCAAAACCCCTTCTTTGACACTCTGAGAAATGAAATTTCCTCTATATAGGTTATAGCCTGTTCTGAACTAGTTCTCTGCCTTTCATAAGTGGTTGTGAAACCACAGCCTTGACATTTAAAAAGAGGAAAAAGAAGTCGTTTCCCCCAATAGCTCAACTAGTAAAGTAAGCCCCTAAAATGAAAGTAGCAGTCCTATGGCTGAGAAAAAATTTTGAGTGAGCCACAGCAGAATTGCTATAGTAGAACACTAGCATTACTCTCTAATTAATACACTTTTATTTGAAAAAGAATAAAGGTGTTTATTTCCAGTTTCAGGATACCAAACTCAGGAAGACTTCCAGCAGGTAAAATAGTTAAGTGTGTACCACAGCCCAGGGGGGTAGGGAGAGAAGCTGGGTCGCAGTCAAGAAACCCCCAATAAGGTGCAGTATCAGCCTGAGCAAGTCCCACTCTTTCAACACCATCATGAAATTGTATCCAGGAAGTGAGAATGAAATGGACTGGCAGAAGAAAGAGGATGATCAGTTGAGTCAGTGCCAATCACCTTATTTCACAACTTCCCATATTTACTTCTAAACGTATTTTTTTTTTTTAGAGACAGAGTCTCACTTTACCACCCTCAGCAGAGTACTGTGGCATCACAGCTCACAGCAACCTCTAACTTCTGGGCTTAGGCGATTCTTTTGCCTCAGCCTCCGGAGTAGCTGGGACTACAGTTGCCAGCCACAATGCCCAGCTATTTTTTTTGTTGCAGTTTGGCCAGGGCCAGGTTCGAACCCACCACCCTTGGTATATCGGGCTGGTGCCCTGCCCACTGAGATAAGATATTGAATGCGCCATAGCAGAATTGCTATAGTAGAACACTAACATTACTCTCTAATTAATACATTTTTATTTGAAAAAGAATGAAGGTGTTTATTTCCAATTTCAGGATACACAGGCACCACCCAATGTATTTTATTTTTGTATCTTTATTAAAAAGAGCCATGGTGGCTCAGTGCCCATGGCATAGTGTTTACGGCACCAACCACATGCACTGAGGCTGGCAGGTTCAAACGCAGACTGGGCCAGCTAAACAACAATGACAACTGCAAAAAAAAAAGTAGCCAGGGTTGTGGCAGGTGCCTGTAGTCCCAGGTCCTTGGGAGGCTGAGGCAAGAGAATCGCTAGAACCCAAGAGTGCGACACAGTGAGAGGAGGGCGACATAGTGAGACTCTGTCTCAGAATAAATAAATAAATAAATAAAAGCCCTGGCTGGGCACCACAGCTCACACCAGGTAATCTCAGCACCGTAGAGGCCGAGACGGGAGGGATCACTATCACTTGAGCCCAGGAGTTTGACACCAGCCTGGGCAACATAATGAGTTGCTGTCTCTTCAAAGTAAATTTAAAAAATTACCCAGTCATGGTGATGAGAGCCTGTAGCCCCAGCTACTCAAGAAGTGGAGCCAAGAGGATTGCCTGAGCCCAAGAGTTCAAGACTTCAATGAGCTATGCTATGATCTTGCCACTGCACTGATCCAGCCTGGGCTGCAACAGAGGAAGACCCTGTCTCAAAATAAATGAATAAAGGGCAGTACCTGTGGCTCAGTGGGTAGGGTGCCAGTCCCATATACCAAAGGTGGCAGGTTCGAACCCCGCCCCTGCCAAATGGCAACAAAAAATAGCCGAGCATTGTGGCAGGCGCCTGTAGTCCCAAACTACTCAGGAGGCTAAGGCAAGAGAATCGCCTAAGCCCAGGAGTTGGAAGTTGCTGTCAGCTGTGATGCCACAGCACTCTACCAAGGGCAACATAGTGAAACTATCTCAAAAATAAATAAATAAAAGCAGCTCTATCAGCCAATCTCAAATCTACCATTTCTTAAAAAATAAATAAAATAGTCCAGGTGTGGTAGCTCACACCTGTAACTCACATCTGTAATCCTAGCACTCTGGGAGTCTGAGGCCAGTAGATTGCCTGAGCTCAGGAGTTAGAGACCAGCCTGAGCTAGAGTGAATCCCCATGTCTAAAAATAGCTAGGCCTTGTGGCAGGCACCTATAGTCCCAGCTGTTTAGGAAGCTAAGGCGAAGGAATCACTTGAGACCAAGAGTTTGAGGCTGCTGTGAGCTGTGACGCCAAAGCACTCTACCCAAGGTGACAAAGTGAGACTCTGTCTCAAAAAAAAAAGAAAAAGAAAAAGAAAAATTATCCAGGAGTTGTGGCAGGCACCTGTAGTCCCAGCTACTCCAGAGGCTGAAGCAGAAGGCTCATTTGAATCCAGGAGTATGAGGTTGCTGTGATCTAGGCTGATGCCAAGGCACTGTAGCCTGGGGCAAGAGTGAGACTCTGTCTCACTAAAAGAAAAAAAAGAGAGAGAAACTAAATAAATAAATAAAGGTCTAGCTACTTAGAAACAGGCATTACTGGAAGTGATGGGAGAAGCACAGCAGGAGTCATCACCTCCATTCTCCTACTGGAGAGTCCCACTAGAGGTGCTCAGTAGTCCAAGAGTCCCCTGTTCTCACTGGCCACCACTTCAGCTCCTCTGCTTCAGCCCCCAGGAGAGAAGGGGGAGTTCACGAAATCCAAACCTAGGTCCCGCAGCCCCACCCAACAGTGGAGAGAACTCTGGAGTGGGGGTCAGAAGGTTCTAGGCTTATTTCTGCTCCCATCTGGCAAAACGATCCTAGTCTTTTAGGGGGTCACACTCCCCTTCCCTGGGCCTTAGCCTCCCTGTCTGTAAATGAAAGGTTTGATGGAGATCACGTGCAAGCCTCCTTCCTGTTCTCAATTTCTCATTCTATTATTCTTAAATTAAATTAAGAATTCTATTCTGTCTTGCAGAAATAGACTACAGGACGGACAGGCTGCTCTCCATTCCATGATCATCCCCCTCAATAATCAGTATAATTTTAGAAAACTATATGATGCATCCATTACTGAAAAACAGGCTGTTGCTTTTCATATCACCAAACCTGATTATTAGTAAATGTGAATTTTCCCTCAGGCCTTCCCCTCAATCCTACAATCCCAGGAAAAAACCTACCTATCCCTCCCAATTTCTAAACTCCAAGCTACCTTTCATTAATAATAACAAAAAATACCCACCCAAACCCGGCCAATGTAAGGTGCCAGAGCACTTCTTCTGGAATCCAGAATTTCGCTCTGCCCTCACCCTCTCCCCAGGTGTGTTTTTAGCCGGGAACCCCCGGATCCACACGTTCCATCTCCCTCCTGCAGTAAACAAGCCCACCATATCTCCCCTGCACACCTCGACCGGAACGACTGCAGCTCCGCGGCTCCAATCCCTGGGGACCCAGACCTCCGTCGAGTCCGCAGGGCGGCCGGCACCTAGGCGCAGCGGGAAGGGCCCGGCACCTCTGGAAAGGAAGGGCCGGCAGGCTCGTTCCCCGGCCGCGGTCTCCACCCCGGCGGCGCAGAGGCCCCCTCCCGGCAGGTCCCCTGTCACTTACAGGCAGCTTCTCTGGGCCAGGCAGGGCAGGGTAACGGAAGGCAGGGCCCGCGGGCCGGCGGCGGAGTTTGCTGACTCAAAGGCGCGGCGGCGGCGGTGGCGGTGGCGAGCGCCCAGGAGCGCACCCGAGCGCAGCCCCGCGCTCCCCG